AGGGTTGCGCTCTTGGAAGTTTGTAAATTCTGGGCATTGAATTTGACTTGAAGAGCGTGGGTGGCCGCTCGTGGCGTATCCAATGCCCAGGTTCCCAGTCCAAACTCTTGGCTTTGGTCCGCTACTGCTTCCAGTAGGCGTTTGGATAGCGAGCGCTGCATATCGCCATACTCAGACAGCTTGCCTCTTTGTCTATCAACCAGCCCACAGGATTTCAAAATTTGATGTTTTTTTTCTTGAATGGAACAGTCGGGCACGCAGCCCAGTTGCAACGCATGGCACGGGAGATGCAGTCGATGATGGTGCTTTGGCCTAACTATGTTTGAGCCGTGTGCTCGAACACAAATTTCTTGATGTCTCAGCTGTGCGTCTCGCCATGGCCGCACCTCTTCTTCTTCTCGCAATGGAGATGGTCCACGGTTTGCCAGACTCATTTCAGTGCAGCATTTTTTCAGGGCCAGAAAAGAGTCACATATCAAAGCAAAGTTTTCCAATGCATCCCGTAGATGCATTGCGTCGTAGGCCAGCAAATACACCAATGCTCTGGTGTCGTGTGCTTCGCCCTTGTAGAGATCACCATCGAACATCTTCTCGTGGAAGATGCGGCGGACCTTGCTTTCGCTCCCTTGTGTGGAGTGTCTTTGATAGAACCAGTTGTCTTTGATGGCCGCATCTATATATTTCTCTCTGCCCCAGCCCTTTTGTTCACTACTGGCCATGTAGGCATGGAGTTCACAGCTAGCTACACCGTTGGCAAAGTAGCAATGGAGAGCGTCATTGAACGCCAATGTTGGACTCAGAGACCATCGAGCTTCCTCATCCCACATCAAGCCATGTATGTCTTTGTTAAGGCCGAAGGTTTGTTCCATCTGGTGTTGTTCCTTTTTCGTTGTGCAAGCATCCAGCCGTTCCACTGCATACTTCCAATGTTTGTCTTCGATTGGGATGAATTCAGCCCAATCGGCGCTATCAATCGCAAAGAAGGTAGCTGAGTTTGGCAAAGCATCTTTTTTGCATATATTGGCGCAAAATAAGCATGGTTTCAGCGCTGCTGATCCCTTGCTCATGAACGTTGCTCTTTGAGCATCATGATCGCTGAGCAGGTGGCTTCGACTCTTCAGTTCGAAGTCCAATGTTTCATCCTCAAGGAAGATACGGATCCTTTTGTTCTCGTGAATTTCTTTGACGAAGATTTTGACTGCCGCGCTCAAACCACCTAGTAGCTTGTCTGAAAATTCCTTTTGGAAAATCATCCCTGGCATCCATGCTTGTTCAACATGCAGGTGCTGGTAGAGTTCTTTGAAGCTAAGGTAAAAAGCCGTCAGCTTTTTTCGTTTCAATACAGCCAATACATTCCCACATGTCACCTCATCATGATACATGAGGGCTGTCAGTTCACCATGGCCAACCGCATGCGCTTCGCGCATGGCTCGGGCCCACGCAGGGCTTTTGTCAACCTGTGCTTGGATTGCTCGAGGAAGGTCAAGAACCAGCAAGAACGTCTTAGTGTCATCTAGCAGCACCGCTTCTTTTTCCATAAAGCATGATGCGCTACAATTGAAACGTTGACGCACAACGTTGTAGAGTTGTCTCTTAGATGCCTCGCAGGCACCCTCCCGCAGCTCCCCGGCAATATTCCAAACTTGTCGCACATGTTCCTCAGAGATGCCTGGAATTTTGAGACATTTTTCCAAATTATCCTTTTCCTTTTCGGACAAAGACCGTTTCCTGCTCATGTTGCTTAAATCCTTTGAGCCAAAATATAACGTATGCAGAGTATATGTGATAGTGTGCGTGAACTGTGAAAGAGGAGCAAGGATGCTTTCAATACTGAAGGAAGTCTCTTCGAATAGGATTGAAATTTTTGAAAGAAATAAAGCCAATTTCCTTATATATATATAGACACAACTGTGGTTCAACTCAACATTTGCCACTAATTTTTTTCCCGCTTCTCCCCAGAAGTCTGTGTCCAAAATTGGTGCGTCAGGTGCGCACCGGGTATGTGCAAGCTACGCTATTTGTTTTCTTCCGCAGCTTGCTGCGCCTTCTTTTCTTCTGCTGCCTTCGTCTTAGCTTCCTTGCTGTCCTTCAACGCCGCGCGCAGCGACTTCAGGACTTCCACCGTTGCTTTGCAGTATTCAGACAGATCTTTGTTGCCAAATTCTAGCTCTGGCAGCTTCGCACCTGTTCCCTTCGTGGCTGTGGCCACACCGAGCATTTCACCAGCAGCCTTATTCCATGTCGCCGCGCGGGCGTGTGCCTGCTTCGCCGCTTCCACGTCCTCCGAGTCGATGTTGGCCTTTTTGCACTGCGCAAGTACAGACTCCAGCTGCTTCAAGTTCTTGGACAGCGCAGCTGCCGCGCGGGCAGCAAATGCGCTCATGTCCGTATTGCGTTTCTCTTGCTTTTCTCGCTCCTTCTCCAAGGACTTGGCATTTTTCTCCTCGCGGCGGCCAGAAACCTTTGGCGCCTTTGCAGCGCCCTTGCTGGAACCTTTGGCCTGTTCCGGAACCACATCCCATTGATCATCCTCTTCGCCTTCTTGCTTGCGCTTCCCCTTGCTCTTCGCGGCTTGCTCCTTCCTCTGCATCTCTTGCTCCACCAAGCGCTTGATCTCCTTAAGTGTCGTCTCCTTGACTGGCACCGCGTACAACGGGCCGAGGATGGGACAGTCTTCGCTCGGAAACTGTAGCACCGCCTCTCTGGCATAGCCCTTAGCCAGCCATACGTCCATGGGTAAGGCCTTAGCCTTGACTTTGTTGCCTTCTTCACAGACGCGTTCGACAGTCTGAGATTCGATGATCATCGTCCTTACAGTCTCCCAACGGTAATTTCCGGTCTCCAGCCGCGCAGACTTCCGGAAAAAATCGTCCCGGCCCGCAGCCGACCAGCCCTGTTGATCTGCCGAGCCTAAGTGACGATACAGCAACGTTTCCATGCTCAAACAGTGCCGGCATGTCCATTGTTTGCCAACAAGACGGCCAGGAGCGGAGGCTGGCAGTTCCCGCTTGCAGAGTTTACAGGCACGCGCATGATCTGCCGTCTCAGTTGCCACGGTGGCCGCAGCCATCCCTTATATATCACAGAGGCAGACACCGACGAAGACGCTTCGATCCAAAAATGGCTGCGGATGCACAACGTCAGCACGAGTCACCGACATCTCACCGACATGCCACTTCATCATCTGTTTTAATTACCACATGCAGAGCCGACATCTCACCGACATGTTCATTTTACGACGTTTGGATGAAGTTACCGACATGTTACCGACATTCCCCCGACATACCCACAAGTCAAAAAAAATATCATTATGGGACCTTCATGACAACGATATATTTTATTTGAATTATATCGTTATGTTGAACCGATCACCAGAAAACAACCACCAAGCAGCAAGTCCCTTTTTGCCGCACCTGCTTCATCCCTCGGAGCTTTACCACTCCTACAGCCGAAGCGTCTGCGTCGCGTCCTGCCTCCAGTTTCTGCTTTGTTCCGGCATATATTTGCATGCACCCTGTCTGAACATATATGCGAGAAGCAGAAACCAAAGAACAACAAAAAAGCTATAGACCGCACTGGGAACTATATGCGGTCAGCGGCCGCGGCTTTCACTGTATCCCACCCCCCCGCAGGGAATGGCGCTGTGCTTTGAAAAACCGAGCAGCTGAGACCCGTAGTCTCACTTGAGCTTGACGACCCATGTGGTCGCATCCAGCCGGTGCACAGTAGGCACCGCACGGGACTTCTTGTGGCCATCATCATCTGGGCTGGGATCACGCGGATCACGCTTCCGACGAGGGCGGGGCTCAGGGCTCGGGGTCACATGGCGTTTTGATTTCTTCTCTTTCTTATTCTTGCGATCCTTCTCCTTCTTGTGCTTCTTCTCCTTCTTGTTTGCGTCCTTCTTGGGCACAGAGGGCGCCGCCTTCTCATGGCTTTCCTCTCTCACAGTTGTCTTCCTGCTCGGAGGGGGTGGCGGCGGCGGGTCCACCATGGGCTCGCGGCGCCGAATTCCGGAGCCCGCAGCGTCCGGATGTGGTGGGATGTGCGCGTCAGGATCCATCCTGGCAGCTTTGGTGCGCCACGCCATCTCGCGCGCCTCATTCCAGGATACACCACCACGTAGGTAGTGTTGCCACTGCAAGCACTGCAGCGAGGTCCACTGATGCTGATCCTGCCCTGAAGGATGACTTGTGAGAGGGCGCCAGCAATACTGACACGTGCTTGCCCTTTTGCCTTTGCCACGTCCTTTCCCTTCATCTGGCTGGGGGCGCCACGGAGTCTCCGATTCAGCAGCGCGTGCGCGACGCGCCTCACGCGCCTCTACCAAAGCCACTTGCATGCTTTCATTCGAATCTTCTCCGCTTGTCTCACTCGAAGACCGTGGGGGGGCAGCTTTGGCTTTGGCAGTGGTGCCAGGTGCATCGCGGGGAGGGCTCGCCTCCTCGCTCACTGACTCTTCGGAGCTCTCTGTGAACTCTGGACCCGCAGGAGACATTTCCACCGGAGCCAACCTGCGAGCAATGCGGGGAGGCGATAATATATAAGCTCTTATTTTTGCGGAGTTGAATAATGATATACATATTCACTTCGAATCAAACATGTACTCTGGTGACAACATCCTGCCTCCACGACAGCGCGGAGAGATTCCGGAGAGGAACCTCTAGTTTGAGCCCCATACTACATGACATTCAACACATGTATGAATTGTATGCACACAAAAACAAATAGTGACATAACATGCTCTGGTTATTGATTTTTATACTGCATTTCTTCACTCGTAAAATATACTTGCGTATACATGTCTATATGTAAATACAAATTAGATTCATCAAATATATATATATATGTATATAAGGAACTCTCGGGAAATATAGTTCTTTCGTTGGATAGTTCTTTGGGTGGAATGGGCCATGACACTGGTGTGCTTCTAGAGCAATAGGCTCAAAAGGTTCATCAGGAAATTCCCCTGATTGTGGCCCCATGAAGCGACCAGCATCCAAACGCCCTGCTGCTGCGATCAAGAGACCAGCGACCAGGACAGCCAGTGGGATCACAGGAAATGATGGGTTATGGTGGGATGTGGTGAATCGAGTTAATGGGGACTCAAGCATACCATAGTTGAAGATCTTTTAAGTGAATTTGATCTCACTTGGTGAAATAGAAAAGGATCTTTGCTCATCTCTGCCCGCAGCCGCTGCTACCGAAGATTTCATGTTCCATGCCACGTGCGCTGCAATGCGTGGATCTCGTAGAGAGAAAATGTTTGTGCACACTGGGCACATGCTTTACCCAATTTAGGGAAAACCACAGTGCGGTGAGCGCTGAACGACAGCGATTCCACAGCTTGGATGGGAATGTGAAGGTTCCTTTGCCATTGTCATTTCTGAATCTTTATTTTTTGTCGGTTCATTTCCCGATTTATCATTCCAGGTGTTTGCAAAGCATACCAAAAACTGTCAGAAGTAAACGGGAGAATTGCCAATAGTACCATGTTCAGACTGGGAACATCTGGGGCCCAATCTTCATCAATCGCTGTGGCAGCACTACAATGATTCCCCACCTGCCAGGTGAGGGTTGTTAGATTTTATCACAGTTGTTCTCGGCTAGCTTCTCCTCCTTCCTCCTTCCTCCTCCTTCCTCCTCCTTCTCCTCCTTCTCCTCCGCCTCCTCATCCTCCTCGTCCTCCGCCTTCTCCTCTGCCAAGCTCTTCGCCAACTCTTTGCCAAGCTCTTCGCCAACGTCCGAGCTCAGTGAGCACCGCTGGACCTCAACCTGGGACCTGCCCAGCTCAGTGAGCACCGCTGGACCTCAACCTGGGACCGTCCGAGCTCAGTGAGCGCTGGACCTCAACCTGGGACCTTCCCAGCTCAGTGAGCACCGCTGGACCTCAACCTGGGACCTGCCCAGCTCAGTGAGCACCGCTGGACCTCAACCTGGAACCTGCCCAGCTCAGTGAGCTGCCAGAAGATATCCCAAATAGAATGCCAGAAGATATGCCAAGTAGAGTGCCAGAAGATATGCCAGATAGAATGCCAGAGGGTATGCCAGCCAGATAGAATGCCAGAAGATATGTCAGAACATATGCCAGAAGATATGCCAGATAGAATGCCAGATAGAATCAGAAGATATGTCAGAAGATATGCGAGAACATTTGCCAGAAGATATGCCAGATAGAATGCCAGATAGAATGCCAGAAGATATGTCAGAACATGTGCCAGAAGATATGCCAGATAGAATGCCAGAAGATATGTCAGAAGATATGCCAAGTAGAGTGCCAGAAGATATGCCAGATAGAATGTCAGAAGATATGTCAGAACATATGCCAGAAGATATGCCAGATAGAATGACAGAAGATACGTCAGAAGATATGTCAGAAGATATGCCAGAACATATGCCAGATAGAATGCCAGAAGATATGTCAGAACATATGCCAGAAGATATGCCAGATAGAATGCCAGATAGAATGCCAGAAGATACGTCAGAAGATATGTCAGAAGATATGCCAGAAGATATGCCAGATAGAATGCCAGATAGAATGCCAGAAGATTTGTCAGAACATATGCCAGAAGATATGCCAGATCGAATGCCAGAAGGTATGCCAGAAGATATGCCAAGTAGAGTGCCAGAAGATATGCCAGATAGAATGCCAGAAGCTTTGCCAGTAAGAACATGTATAAATGTCATGGTGGGGATCACAAGAAGTAAAGTATTTTTTTTTATCATCGGTTTGTTTGATTTCTGGGGGACGTGGCCATAAACCATCATTCATTCAGTCTCATGGCGTAACACAATAATAATCTGTTCATATGATAAACCGTTGCAAATACTTTCTCAACCCATCACCATACAATAAGTCATGGATCTCACGTCTTTCCATTTGTTCTGGGACCCCATTCTGATCGAGGAAGCTGTACTTCGCAAATGGTACAACCTAGAGACCACGACTGCTTTTGAAGCGGGGGAGGCCAACCTATCTTCAGAGGTTATGCTACAAAGTGAGTCCAGCGATGATGATGTTATGCTGTTGCAAACAGATTCTGAAAATGATGATGATGATGATGGACTTCTGCTAGCATCTGGTTCGGAGTTCTCGGGGGGTGAACAACACCTGGAAACGGAGACGGAGACGGTTGAGCCTCCTGCCAAAAAACGGAAATACAACAAACGATCCAGTGAGAAGATGACACTCAAATTTCTGGGCCAAGCAGTTTGCAGAGCAGCCCACATGCGGCTGTATGGGATTGGATCCAATGCTCTCCAAAATGTCAGAGACGGTAGGCAAGCATTCACTATGTACGACAACAGGTTGGAAGAGCCTAAGCACGCAACCTTGGGGGTTTCGCTGACCCGATCCAATGTCAACACCAAATGGCCCAGTATCCTCAGTTTCTTTTGGATGCTGTACATTAGTGTGGCAGAGATCATGCCGACCAAGTTTGTGATGCCTTCCAACGGTGCTTTCAGCGAAAGTTTCATGGAGAAGGACCCAGACTTCCAGGAGCGTTATACCCGATCATTCATGAACTCTCTTGAGAGAAATTTTGATCTGAGCTCTGTAACTTGCCTATGCACAACCGAGAAGAGTATAATAAATGTTTTTGTTTTCTAAACCACTACCGGATCGGGGATCGACGTCATCGTTTAATCTGAAGGAAGGGTACTTGACAGACTGGTCGAAATTTAGTGGGGATTTATCAACAACAGCAAAAACATAATAAAGGAACTACACAAACCATATAATATTATCCACTGGAAGTTTATCAATCGATTTTATAGACCATGATCCAATCCCATCCAAAACCTATGACCCGATGCAAAATACACATGCTTGCAGTGTTAGGAAATCCGTTCAATGAATTTGAATATGGTTCTTTCTGCAAAACAAACGGTCATTATCATCAATCATTGCTGTTCCACTGTATGGCTATTCTTGCAAAGTTTCCCATTCTCTGAGGCAACTGCCCATGGACCTGGAACATTTGATGGTCCCCGCCGCTATCTTGAATGGACTCGTCCTATAGATTTGTTCTTGCAGTATCAACAATATGCGGAGTCAAGTGGACAAGAGGCAGCTGGATTTCAAACCTTTCTACGGGTGATGAGACGTTTGTTCAAAACACATTTGAAATTCAGGGACAAAAATGAGCACGCGCAGTGCGATATCTGTTTCAAGCTTCGACAGAGGATCAGGAGAGCCAAAACAAAACCTGAGAAGACGTCTACGACTTATGCATATTCCAGACACCTTCTGTCACAATGGCTTGACCGCCAACTGTATTGGCAACTTCGTGCTCTATCCCGGAATTTTTTCAGTCAAGCTCTTCAGTTTGAAAAAAGAGTTCAGGCCGATCTACGGACATCGATGCTGGCGATGATCCAAGACGGAATGGATCAAGCAAAACTGCGCGTGCCACGATTCGGGTATCAGCGGATATCCAAAGCTCTAGAGAAGATCTTCCGGCCTGCTTTGCATTTGGTGGCCACGTGGGCTCACGGGTGGAAACTGCGAATCGCAATCAGCGATGAAGACTTGAAGAAGAACTCGGAGACGTCCATCGAGCTCATTACCTTGGCCCTTTGTAATTTGGTAGAGCATACAGGCAAACTGCCACTGAGTTTCCACTTACAACAAGACAATTGCTACCGTGAAGGTAAAAACCGTTTTGTGGTCAAATACATGCTGCTACTGACCATCCTTGGGGTCTTTAGGACCACATCGATGGGATTCCTGAGAACAGCTCACTCCCATGAAGATGTTGACCAGTGTTTTGGTCAGATTTCTCGGCTGTTGATGGGCAAAAGGTGCGGCACCGCTGATGAGATGGTTGGCCTTATCGCTGACGCTACGATGGACCCTGGTTCAGCTTCAAGTAGCTTGAGGGCTTCTGTGGTTGAGTCGTTCAAGATTGACCAGGTTTCTGTTTGGAAAAATTTTGTGGCCCAAACTGGATTGAAATTCAAAGGTCTTCGTCGTGTGCATTACTTTCGATTTTGTTTGAGACAGGATTTGGGAGCTGATGTTTTGGACAATGTGGCAGAGCTTGAGGATTGGAAACGTCGATATCAACCACATCCAGAAGACATCTTTCTGGTCACGAAGCGCTGGCTCGCAGATACAGAGATTTCCAGGGCCATTGCGGTTTTTCCAGCTTCGAAAGCCAAAGAGCTTCGAAATGGTCTTCATCCACCGGCAGGGTTGGCCCCTCGAAGGACCATTACTGAGAAGGTGAAAAACAACATCAAAAAACGGATACCACCTCTTCGCCAGAAAGGTGAAATTTCGAGGGAGTCAGCTGATTACTTGTTGCAGTGGTCGTCGGGAACTTTGCCACAAACACCCAAACCTGCAGCTTACTCACTTTTGAGGTATCGCTACAATGAATCAATGGATTCAGATCTTTATGTCCCTGGGGCATGGACCACTCCTCACAGAGTCAACCATTTTGATTTGACATTGAGGGAATGTGATGATGCAGCTGGAAGCGATGACAGTTCGGAAGATGATGAAGGGGCCATCGATTTGGGCAATGGCATGGGAGATGGAACCATGATTTGCAAGAAAAAGAGCGCCCTACATGGACTAAACCAAACGGGTTGTAACTGGTAACTGATTGTATTCCAATGCCCTTCCCCCTAACATCCTGTGAAGAAATTTCCAAGTCTTTCTAACTATCTTTGAAGAAGAATAATGACAACCACCACTTGAAATCACTATGAATTATCTTTTTCTTTTCAATAATATGAGATTTTCCCAAAGACCAATGTGACACTGAGATCAAGGGTCACCAAATTCAGTAACTGTAACCAGCCAGCCATGGTAGGAATTAAAGGGAATGATGATGATGTTGTTCAACTCAGGTCATTGTCTCAATAAAGATCGAATGATTGACATCACAAACCAACAGTTCATTTCTGCACCATAAGATTGGATGATGATAGTCTTGACATCACAAACCAACAATTCATTTCTGCACCATTGGATTGGATGATGATAGTCTTGACATCACAAACCAACAATTCATTTCTGCACCATTGGATTGGATAATGATAGTCTTGGGGGTACCAGATTTTTCTCTTGACATCTAATGTTCTGTCCATGTTAAGATGTAACCTTCTGAGTTCGGGTTACACCAAATCCAGGTCTATCCGGGGTCGCGATGATTTCCTCGCGCACAGCTCTTGCTGACAGGACTGTGGAAACTCCAAGCGCCGAAGTTGAGGGGGAGGTGCTTCTCAGCACTGATGATGAACGGGAAGGTAGGCTCTGGGACTGCCAGGATGCCATGGAATAATATCTAGATATATTATTTAAGTTCCTGATTCAAATTCATACCACTTCAGCCTTAAAAATGGAATGGATAAAGTTAAAGGTTCAAAGGGGATATGTAGTATCCATTTTGTCATGTCAGTCACAGAATGCCACTGCGTTTACACCATTGGTAGAAGGGTACATCCTCACTAATCCCACTAGCTCAATCTGTTTGTGGATTTATCCGTTTTCCATTTCTTCTAACCCAACCTTTTGCTTGGCACCCCATCTCTTGCAGGTCCATCTCAGGAAGATTGCCACCGTGCTGATGAAGTCTTGCTGGCTTCCGATGAGGAGCAGGGGGACCAGCTAAAAGCAGCTCCACCTCTTGAACACAGCGTTCCTTGATTGATTTTCTTACAGAACACCCCAAACCAAACAGGTCCTTTTGGGAATGTCTAGTGAGACATTGGAGATTCATTTCAGCCGCCCATCAAAGGGGAACTTTTGAATAAGTCATGACACAAAGTTCGATTGAAACTTCAAGGGTCACAGTCAAATGAGCATTCATACTAACTAGCATAAGCTGGCCCAGCCAAAATCCAGTTCCAGAGTTCCAGATTTTGTTTATGTCATCATAACCAAGTAGCTGACATGTAGCTGACTAATCATCTTTCATGTTTAGTCTCGCTTGAAGTGCGCCTCAGGTTTGGGGCTTTGTGGATGCTTTCTGCAACTCGGAAAAGTTTGCGGATCTCAGGCAACGTGTTGACAAGACGTGGCGAAGCTGCCCAACCGTGAAAGTTGGCAGTTTGTTTTCGGGATGGGGTGTCTGCGAGATGGTGCTTCAAGATATTGAATCTCGTTGGGATGCTCACTGCCCGGATGCAGGCTATCAATTCCAGGCAGGTGTTGCCACCATGACCAGTTCAATGTCGTAAAATGCAGTAAGCATTTAACAGCTGAATGCAAGGGTAAACTGTTTGCTCGAAGTCACAACTCTCATGATGATGCTGGTTCTACAACTCTTCATCACCCACAAACTTGTTTCAAAGGCGTGTCAAGCAACATTGGATCAACCTACGGCTTAGTATTTGGTAGCTTTCGATCATGTTCTAAATAGGACATTCCTCACCTAACGTGATCACCATCATTGTCGCCATCATACATTTTCTGTTGGACATCACATATCGTCAATCATCAACATATGACTGAATCATATATCATCACCATGACCATCATCATCACCATCACCATCACCATCATCATCGCCATCATCATCATCATCAACAACAACATCATCATCATCATCATCATCATGGTCATCATCATCATCATCATCATCATCATCCCATATACTTTCAATGCATAAACCTAAAAGCGCCCTAGAGGCGGAACTTCACTTCATGTGCGAGAACGACAAGCGGAAGCAGGAGTATCTCAGGCGAAACTTCCCGACTCATGTGGGTATCTTTGATGATGCCACAGAATTGGGCAAAGTTCATGCCCGAACTATGGATGGATCCACTGAGCAGGTTCCCAAAGCTACTTGCCATTGATAAGTTTGGTGCAGTCAGAGCCATGTATTTGGGCATTTTCCATGTTTCGACAGTCACCAACCATGAACCATCAAAGAATCAACATGTAAAACATGCATCAAATTCTCGAGTTCTATTGGCATTGGATTTTAAAACTCTGCAACTCTTCTGGGGTGAATTGGCCTAGGTTGACCTGCTGGTTGGAGGCTTTCCCTGCGTGAGTATTTCGCCATTAACCATGACCCCTGGCAGTGTCACGGACCCGGAGTGTTCGAGTGGATCTGGGTTTTTGAGCATTGAGAGGTATTGCAAGAAACATCGCCCAAGTCTTCTATGCCTCGAAAATGTCAAGTCCATATTCCATTGCCGCAAAGTTGAAGGAGGAGAATCCGGGTAACCCAACTGAAATTATTTGACAACATGACACCTACTTAGGGTAAGAAGTAGCAGTTCCACTTCATTTGATACAAGCGTTGTTTGTCTTTAACCCCTAAACGTTGTAAACGCTCTGTTTATATGATCGGTTTCAAGTTTCCACCCCAAATCTATTGATCACGTTAGACTTTGACAAAAAACATCCAGCCAAATTTAGTGTGGTCATCAGTTTCCGGCTTCCGAGGTACTCCAACATGAAAAAGCGCTTGGAAAAGCTCGGCTATGTGATCGCAGCCGCGGAATGCAATGCCGCGGATTTTGGGGTACCACAGCAACGTCGCCGGGCATGGGTTCTTGGTATCCTAAAGTCCGAGTTGAAGACTAACTCTGAACAGTTGATTGCCGACTTGAACACCTTCAAGTGCAAGAGTTTGAGCTTGCTTTCATGCATCGATTTGAAGAAGGTACCCCCAAATTCTACAACCAAAGGTGGCAAGACCCAAGAGGAGAACAACAAATGGAAGGATGGTTTGAAGAAACAATGTGAGAAGTTTGGCAAGGTGACTTTCCAACATTTAGCTGGGATGGCTGAAACCCTGATCTCAAGGAAATTATGTGGATTGCTCCAATCAATATAAGTAGAACCCAACCTGCTGTAAACCAACCAAGCGACCTTATTTAAATTTGTCGATATTTGGCGACTGGCTTGAGGCGAAGATCATGGAGCGCATTCGTGTGCTCACTCCACTTGCGACTCCGTGCAGCGAACGAGAGGTTGCCATCTTGGCTTGCGCGGTGGAAGAGCTGTGGGTGGAGCATGACATTGATGCCATGAAAGAGGTGAAGATCATACAAGTTGATACTCAGTTTTAACATACCTTACATTTTTGGCTTTGGTGTTTTCAGTCAAAAGTAACGTGGTGGTTACCAGTAGTACCGCACAAGGCGGTGGCGGAAGTTTCAAAAATAGGAAACCTATAGGAGAGATTGGTTGTTGTGAATCAAGGATGGCAGAGCGAATCCACTGATGGACCGAAAGCTGCTTGAGGTCTCCTCTCTTTCTCTCTCTTGCTCTGACTATCTACCTACCTACCTGTCTATCTTCTCTGTATCTATCTATCTATCTATCGATCTATCTATCTATCTATCTCTCTCTCTTTCATCTCATTACCTATCTATCTATCTATCTATTTATCTGTCTGTCTGTCTATCTATCTATCCCTCTCTCTCTCTCCCTTTCATCTGGCTATCTGTCCAGCTGTCTACCAGTCTGTCTGTCTATCTATCTATCTGTCTATCTGTCTACCTGTCTATCTGTGGTGCAATGTCATTCAGTGTAATGCAGTGTAGTGTAATGTAGTAGTGGGGTGTAGTGGAATGTAGTGTAGTGTAGTGTAATGTTGTGTAGTGTAGTGTAATTTAGTGTGGTGGAGTGTAGTGGAGTGTAGTTTTGTAGTTGTAGTTGTAGTGCAATGTAATGTAGTGAAGTGTAGTGGAAGGTAGTGTAGTGTAATGTAGTGTAGTGGAGTGTAGTGTAGTGTAGTGTAATTTAGTGTAGTGGAGTGTAGTTGTGTCGTTGTGTAGTTGTATTTGTAGTGCAGTGGAGTGTAGTGCAGTGTAATGTAGTGAAGTGTAGTGGAAGGTAGTGTAGTGTAATGTAGTGTGGTGTAGTGTGATGTAGTGTAGTGGAGTGTAGTGGAGTGTAGTGGAGTGTAGTGGAGTGTAGTGGGGTGTAGTGGGGTGTAGTTGTAGTTGTAGTTGTAGTTGTAGTGGAGTGGAGTGGAGTGGAGTGGAGTGTGGTGCAGTGAAGTGTGGTGGAAGGTAGTGTAGTGTAGTGTAATGTAGTGTAATGTAGTGTAGTGTAGTGTTGCGGAGTGTAGTGTAGTGTAGTGTAGTGAAGCGAAGCGACATCTGAACCTCCAAAAAGCGGTCCGAACCCCTAGTCTTTTTAACATATTGACTTCAAAATATGCTTCGCGCCACAACGGCGTGCACTTTTTCGACATCTCAACTTCCAAAAGTGGTCCGAACGTGGTGTGTTTTGTACATTTTGACTTGGAAATGTGCTTCGTGCCACAACGGCGTGCACTTTTTCGACATCTCAACTTCCAAAAGTGGTCCGAACATGTTGTGTTTTGTACATTTTGACTTGGAAATGTGCTTCACGCCACAACGGCGTACACTTTTTCGACATCTCAACTTCCAAAAGTGGTCCGAACGTGGTGTGCTTTGCACATTTTGACTTGGAAATGCGCTTCGCGCCACAACGGCGTGCAATTTTTCATCTCTCATCTGGCCAGCTGGCTCCGCACCCGCCGCTTTAGCGAGCCTACTTTTCGACCCTCCGGAGCTACAAATCATGGGAAAAAACACAGTGAATCGCGACTGTCCTACCTTTTCGCGCATCTGTATCTCCTTTCTTCTGACTCTTTCTCTTCTACTCTTCTCTCTTCTAATCTTTCTCTTCTCTCTGCCTCTGCCCTGCTCTGCTTTTCATCTGTCCATATTGTCGGAAGTTTGACTTCTAACCAATTCTTAGAAAGGTTAGGTAGCCAACTTGTGGACCTTGTGGCAACCAAAAGGTGAGTTGATCCATTGGGTTGACGACAGGGTTTCCAACACGACACTTAGGACCAGAACTTTAGCAGGTCAATCTTCCCCAAGCGAAACACCGACACCATGTCGTGCGTGATCCCTGGTGGGAAATATATCGTCACCGGCTCTGCGGGCTTCAGGGAGATCTCTCCGAAGGAGACTTAACAACTTCATGATTATTCTTCCCAAATGTTCAAGTGCAATTTCTTGGTTCAAGATGGTCCCTACTTCGAAAAGGTATCTGAATCAAATGGTGTTCCCCAAAACAATTAAAGTTTGGTTGTACGATCGATGTTTCTTTGTTATCAACAAAGGGTTCAGCACTTCCAAAGAGCAAATTCGAACATAGCTGAAATTTGATAATTTTAGGGACTCCCACAAATTATATGGATCACGACTTATTAGATGGGCTCCCCAACTGTTCACAGGAGCTTGCTATGATGCAGGGGATTGGAGAGCGGGAGTGGTGGTACTACAAGATGAACGAAGTACCCGACAAGCTCATGCGGTCGTTCATTGGGAATGCGTATCTAGGCTCCACCAGTAGGCCGACAGTAGTGAGATGTAATGGGGTCAAAAATCTTGAGAGATATTGAGAGTAAAGCCCAATCAACAATGATCCTTCAATGACAAACTCATTAAGAGTACTGGTTGGGAATCATCACCGTTGGAACCCGCAAGTTTGGGTCAAAGAACTTTATTATCTATTGCGTGTTTTTATTTTTTTGGTATCAAGAGATCTGAAAAGCATACCATGATCATAAAATATAACAACGAAGGACTGACATGCAGATTGAAACCGTTTTGGTTTCCCCTGGTGCCAGTCACCGCTGCGGAGGTTCTGCGCGCCCATTCAGATTGGGGCCTTGCTGAGCCTTTTTGCAAATTGGGAACCGGAACCTTCAGAGCCATAACTGGCATGTGAGTCCAGCTTGTGCTTTTCTCTAGTCACTTTCTCTGCGAAAGAAGTGGCAAATTTAATTCATGATCCTTAGGCTACTTCGTTTCTCGTTGCATCATCATTGGAAGGATGAGTGCACTTTGGAGTTCAGAGCGTTCTCTTTAGAACGTAGATTCTAAATTCATTTGTACTTGGCAGAACCAGTGACCAATTGGAAATCAAAACCAACTTGCAGTTCCATGCGCTTTCCATGTTCAATGTGAGAAATTGGTAATCGTCACACGTCACTCAGTCAATCCTCTGGTGAAATCAAAAATGGTCCTGCCAAAATGAAAGGATTTTTGTTGATAATGATTAGTTGATTTGATTATGATGATTGGATTGCTGTATTTCCACAACACTCTTGATTCCATCTACTGCAAGATCTTAGCTCCAACCTGAATTTGGTTACTACTGAGTTGGTTTGGTTGCCATGCCTCCCAAAAAGAAAGCCAGAACCTCCGGGAGCAACTTGGCCGCCAACACGAAGAGTTCAGCCTCCGCTCCAGCAACCGTGGCCGAGATTTGTGAAGCTCGGGTGCAATTGAAGGATTGGATTCTTGATGCTTACCAGGGGCGGCATGGGTTTGCCACGGAGAGGAATTATCCAGTTGGAAAAGGCGGTTCCTTCCTTGACATTGTCCATAGATGCTGGTGGAGTACTTCTGGGAAAGCTGGCAAGCATATTCCTGACATCATTGCTGATAGCCTTAGCTTTTGCCAGAAGATTGGCATTGTAGACAGTGCTGTCCAATGCGAAGACTTTTTGCACAAGTACTTCAACAATCAGGACAGAGTTAAAACACCAAAATGATAAACCAGAACTGGCTATGTAGGTATTTGCGACATTTTGGGAGTACATCTAGTACATCTACCCAGTAAATTGTGATCTTGGTTTCAATCAACATTTTGTGGGGATGATTTCTGGGGTGACCATAGTAATAAGGTTCATTCTGTAAGGCTCAAAGTTTGAGACAGGGCGCTACTATGATGGTTCAAAGGCTTACTCTGGATATTCGATCGGAACCTCAGCAATCATTCTGACATTGGACATGATATACCTCAAATTCTTTTTACATATTATCTGTACTTCCAAAAAGGGCTCCCCTGATCCAGGGCGTTCCACCAGCTCCGGGATCCTACATCACCACCAACATCCTCCAGTGGTCATTTGATCCTGAAGCATTCTGGCGCACCCCGGATATGGCCACGGTGTTGGACATTGCGAAGTCGATTGCGCTGGTGGGCTGGAAAGAAGCCCCTAGACAGAAACTAACGGGTTAGAACATTAGCAAAAGTGTGCCTCCAAGCACTTATAAGAGCATACTACACAATCTCTCCAAATATGTTTTTACTGGACCGGTCGGGGATGGAAAGCCAAAATCCCAAATTCACTTTTCATTCGGTAGGTTTGATTATTCTGAGCTAATGATCAAAGCTTGACTGGATTCAGGGCATCTCCACAGCCATATCATGGACAGTGGTCCTACTTTAAAGTGAACCAAGAATGAACAACAAAGCCAATGATGATATTCACATTTCATTGTGCCAACAATCAATTTGGGGATAGAAGAACCTCATATTTTTGAGGAGGGCTCACCGGACCTAAAATAATTAAGGTATGGGATTGCTCGCCGCCCCCAAGATATGGGATTCCTCGCTGCCCTCAAGATATGGGATTCCTCGCCGCCCCCTTACACTAGATTCAGCTCATGGATTGCTCATTTGGGCAACATTGGCAACAAATTCCACTATGGGAGAGGGATAGCTCTCCACTTTGACATCTCCATGTTGGGGCCTTGGGTGGAGAGCTCTTCCAGGAAGAGCTCGCCGCCTCTAAAGTAAAGTGGCACCACCAAAACGTCACAATTTTTTGATAAAGAATGGATGGTTTCCACCAGAATGGAAAATTAATTGTTTTAGTAGGCCTAGGTCAATCTAGCTCTCCAAGGGTTCAGATGGACCAATACTACGAACCAGGGGGGGGTGGAGAGCTCTTCCGGGAAGAGCTCGCCGCCCAAGGCAGCCAACTTCAACCCCCAAAGTGGAGAGGAAAAAGCTAAACGACGGGGTTACCATAGCCCAGGGGGTGGAGAGCTCTTCCGGGAAGAGCTCGCCGCCCCCCCGATATGGGATTGCTCGCCGTCCCCCCAAAAAAGGGAATTGCTCGCCGCCCCCCCGATATGGGATTGCTCGCCGCCCCCCAAGTTAAGGGAATTGCTCGCCGCCCCCCCTAGACATCAAATTCTAAAATGATATCATTTTTTGGGATTGGGAAATCAAGGGAAGGCAAACCAAAAGTATTGGATAGTTGACTTTGAATCCCTTTTGATGGATTGGATGAACTTCTGAATGGCATTATTTTACCAAGGTTCCTTGGCTTGACTTTCTGAAAGGTAAATTGGATACCCAAACAAATCACACAATAACTTCAGAGTGGTGGGGCCCAAATTGTTAGATAAGGTTATCACCATCTAGAACCAACTATGGCTGAAGATTTGTTGAAGTTTATCATTGAAAGTTTTTTGTCGAACACGTGGACTGCTGGGGAATCTGATACTCCATTCCTTTGACATAAGATGAACTACACACAGGGACAGGTGAAATGTGTTTTTAGTGATACTTGGCCAGGCCCAATTAAGTTGCAATCACCACGGACTGGGAAACCCATTGTTAACGTGAAGTCCTTTCTGCACTTCGGTTTCTGTTCATCACTGGGTCACCCTAAATAAAAAAACAGGATGGAATGATATATTATATACATGGTGAGAGCGAGGGTGTATAAACATCCAATTGCCAAACACATTAAACAAATCTTGGTAGATATCACCATTCAATTCCGAGCCCAACAAGTTAGAACCCAGATTGGTAATTTTTGCTATGAATGGAAAACTACTTGAGGTTCAGACCCTGCAATCCCTTGAGTTCCTCCCAAAACATTTGCTCAGGGACAAGCTCTTGGCATGCGGCTTGCTCCCACCTTCGAATCTGAGATGGATGATGATGAGCCGATCCTCAATGCATTCCTCTTTGATGATGGTGGTATGCGTGGGGTAGCAGCAGCGCTTGTTTGGTGTGGGCTGATCTACTTTTGTGGCAGTTTGCCTGCAGACAAAGTGTGTGATCCCCAAGTGGTTAGCCTGGCCCGGTCACTTTTGACCATTCCGACCTACTACAGACAAGACGAACCAGATCCAACTCGGGCTATGATCGGTCGGATTATCCGCCAGAACGTCGAAGCCAAGAAGTTGGCTGTGAGTTCCTTCGAGTGGTCGCAGATTCTCGCCGGCATGGCGAAGGATGGTGAGAAAATCACAGTGTCTCAAGCCGTGGAGATTTACAACGCCTCTCCCGAGGTTCTTGCCCACGGGATTGGCAGCGGCTCCAAGGACACAAGGGCCAACAAAACCAATCAAAATAACATAAAAATCATACCATTAAGCCCCACGAGGTTTCCAATTCAATGTCTGAAAGGTTTGTTATGGAACCAGCGTAGGATTGATATGCCACCTGAACGGGGTGAACTTTTTGGCAATGTGGTTTTCCCATCGTCTTTCTTTGGGTTGCTGAACTCATTCCAACAAAAACAATCAAACTACCTTATGATTGGTTTTGTGGTTTCTGAAAACGCCGCCGCCGCCGAACGCCGCCGCCGCCGCAACGCCGCCGCCGCCGCCGCTAACCCCTTTACCCTTTGATTCTCCCAACATAAATTTCAATAATATGACATTCCTGTGATATATAATAAATTAAAATCTATTCTGATGATGATTTTAAAATTTCAGATTTAATACTATTCAATTTATGATGTTGTGATTGGTCGTGGTGACTATGACTGAAAACTTCTCAATGTTTGAATCATCCCATTACCAACTTTTATCTCACAGTCAGGAATCCATTTCGGATATTATACTCAAAGCCCATTTTCTTTACTCGTTTATCATCTTTTATCTAATCTTCGGCCCTTCCATTCAGCTCTGGCACAGGACAAAACGGGCACTGGGTCTTTGCTGCTCGATGGCAAGAAGCAGTACGCAATCAAACATTGGTTGCAGGGTACCTGCAAGCAAGCAAAGGAGCAAGTTCTGATCAGTCTGCGTGATGCCCCTTTCGCCTACGGGCCTTGGGGGGAACAACTCAGTGTGATGAGCTTCCTCTTTTTGGAGAGTACAATGGATCTCATGGCTTCCCCAGACTGTGGACTTGTCGCAGGAGCCAGTGAAGCCAGTATCCCCTTGGACTGGTCGTTGCCGCTTGGTGAAGATGCTCAGGCCAATCTGTTCTACCGCATTCGGACAGGCTTTGAGAAGAGCACAGCAATCATTGACAACCCGGCTGACAAAAAACGGTATCGGAAGTCAGAGGAGGAGTTGCAGCAGCTTAGGAACTTGATGGCTTTGTGGTCCCAAGTGCGAGCCTTCTGCTCGACTCGTCTTTCCAAGTTTGCTGAGTTTGAAAAAGCAGTGACCCAGGGAAACACCAAGGACTTTGAGCTGCGAGAGATCTTGGACCAACGTCCTGGCTCTTTCTGCGTGTCAATGCTCGCGAGCTACCAGAAGCAGGCTATGGAAGAGGTCTTGGCAGCTGAAGAGGGTGCAACTCTAGAAGTTGAGACGGAACGTTTGAAGGTTCGTGACGCCAGATGGTCATGGTTCAAAGGTGCTTTGGAGCGAGATCAAGCCCTTGTTCGTCAAATTGGCTCTGCTCCGGACAAGATTGCGGCCTTGAGGCATCGCAAGCAGATGGCATGGCGCTTGATCCAGGCCAAGAATGGTGAGAAGTTGGTGCGCAACTACATGGAGAAATTCCTGCGCACTGAGTTCGTTGCCAAAGCGGAATTGGCACAGCAGAAGGTGAATGAATTCAGATCCCAAGTGGTTGCTTGGTGTTTTTTTTTCAAAATGTATGTTTCTTGAGCTTCCCCATACTGGCGAGAAACATGTTTAAGATTTTGTTTACAGCCATCGAGACTTTCATTTGCTTAGGCTCAAACATCTGGTCGACCAGACACCGACATCTACATGATTGGCATTGTGGACTTGAATGTTCCTGGGGCAAAGGCCTCCGACAGGATCAATGAGCTGGCCCAATGCATGCAGTTTCTCAACGACCTGGCTCCAGAGAGGCACGCGTGTTTGCTGGAAATGGCTGAATATGCAAAGCGCAGCTCCAGGAGAGGCATCAGCGACGAAGAGAGGGAGGTGGAGGAGGCTTTGTGGTCTCTTCGGCAAGTCCTGGACGTTCGGTGGGTGATGCCGTTCAATCTGCACCCGAGCGCTGAACAGCAGAGCAACAGAAGGCAGCTTGGAGTCAAAATCCGCCCACACCGCTTTGGCGGTGAAGGCGTGCTTATTGGGGGGCAACAGCAACACTAAATGCTCAATGACATTTGTTAATATAGCAGTCGCTATATCAGCTTTAGCTGGGGGGGGGGGCCCAAAAACGGTTTCGCACCGAGACCAGACCCCAAAAACGGTTTCGCACCGAGACCAGAATACGGTGGTGTTTTCGACATTTTTCGAGGATTTTTGGGTGTCTGAGCGCAAGAGGGTATTGAAATGGAATTTTGGGTCATTTTGGTAGCTTTCCGGCAATGGAAAAACGGCCAAAAATGAAAAAAACATTGTACATAGCAAGATTTTGCAGGGTTTTTGGATGCCAGAGCATTGAAAACACTGCAAAAACAAGTGTTTTGGACTGACGTTATAGCAAAAAAACGTGTAAATTACCGTATGCTTGACTGGAAACATTACAAAAACACTGTCAAAAGCAATGTTTTGGAAGGATTTACTGCCTTTATGGCAAAAAACGTGTAAATTACCGTCTGTTTGACTGGAAACATTGGAAAAACACTGTCAAAAACCATGTTTTGGAAGGATTTCTTATTGAAACTTCTTAGCTTGAAGAGCCCCCACGGGGGGAAACCACCCTTAGCCCCTCTCACGGACCGAAATAAACCTGCGGTGTGGGCGGCCACCCCACGCGAAGCGGGGTGAATTAAGCACTGTTTTTCATGTCTTTCTGGAAGCAATTGGGCCAAGCAGGAAGGAAGTAAGTACTTTTTTTGTCCCTCCAAATCTCATTCCAAAAAAACCTTTGGCCTTCATAGGCGCTTCAGCTTGGGACGTGTCGTGGGCAACATCGATGCACAGGACTCCAATATTTGGATGACGTGCTCCGAGCTTTCTATCTGCGGCAGGCCGTTGTCTGGGCAATCAGTGCAGCTCCCACTCTCCAAGGAACTGATCCTACCAGAATCTCTTTCAGCTGAAGATGACTTGAAGCAGGCTGAACGCCAGAGACCTTCCACGGAGACTGCAGCAGCTCAGAAGGGGGTGAGTCGATGGATCAGCCTCTTGGAATCGATCCTGACCATCACTGGTGACAGCTTCAAGGACAAGTGCGTGATTCTTTGCAACTTCACGCCCTATGTTGAGGATGTTGGCTGTGCAGTTTCTGGGCTTGCAGTGAATGTGCTGGGCCACCTTTAGTGTATGGACATAGCAAACTATAAACATATGGGCCAGGTCAAACCCACACAAGATATTAATACCAGTAGTACCGCACAAGGCGGTGGCGGATGTTTCAAAAATAGGAAACCTATAGGAGAGATTGGTTGTTGTGAATCAAGGATGGCAGAGCGAATCCACTGATGGACCGAAAGGTGCTTGAGGTCTCCTCTCTTTCTCTCTCTTGCTCTGACTATCTACCTACCTACCTGTCTATCTTCTCTATGTATCTATCTATCTATCTATCTATCTATCCTATCTCTATCTCTATCTCTCTTCTCATCTCATTAC